GGTGAGCGCCGCTTCGCGACCGCACGCGTTGCAGACCTGGTACCTCTCGCGAGTGTTCTTACTTTTTTACCAAGCTTGTAGTACTGAACAAAGGTTTGCTTTATGACATCTATTCCGAAATATTCACATTTGATCAAAACTCCACACAGATTCCATGCGAAGCGCTCACCTCAGAGGTGAATCCCAAGGAGCAGGATGCAATTTACAAGCGGTTGATGCGCTCTCCACCCGACATCAAGCTGTTGTACGTGACGCCTGAAAAAGTGAGATCTTCCCATTGCTATGCTTTTTTCTCCCTAAACTGTTTACATCAGATCAGCGTCTCGAACAAGCTCCAAGAGGTTTTCAAAAGTTTGCATCGTCGAAATTTTTTAACCCGTTTTGTTATCGATGAGGCGCATTGCGTTTCTCAGTGGGGACACGACTTTCGGCCTGATTATGCAAAACTGCAGTCACTACGACGTCAATATGCGCAGCCGAAGGTGAGTGTTGTAACCGAGCAAATTAGGGGTTTTGAGGTGAGTTCGCGCGAGAACAAGTGCTCAAATAGCTTGATTGTAGGAAAACTGGAAAAAATTTGTTCATTGCGTACAAGAACAGCCGAGTCATTCGTACCGTCAGGGTGACAGGAATTTTTCGGACGTTTTTTATTTGTCAAGTTGAAGGAGAAGATTATTTGAGCACTTGCTTATTGCATACATAATGGATTTTTCAGTCCTGTTCATACTGATGGCGATTCTAAGCCTTCATCGATTAGTTGCTCTTGCAAGCACATCGAGCCAGCTCTAGGATTTTATTCAGATCGGAAAGGCTCCTAGACCACGCCCTGCCTTTATTGGGTTGTAGCCTGAAAGCTGGGTTGTCTTTGAGACGCATTTACTCCAGGCCTTTTAATACGGCAGCAGGGTGAGTAACGCTCGAGGATTGCTCGACTGTGGTTTTATTTATTCGTAGATGGGGAGGATGGGAGCAGTTAAAGGAGATAGATTTGGAGAAACAGTAGCATCCTCCTTCTGCTTGACGATAACCAGCTGAATCAATGATACATTGATCCCATCACTGGGGGCGGGGGAGCATTGCCGCAAATGTTTCCTCCAATATGCATGTTCTCCCTAACCAGCAGTAACATCGTCTGCGTCCTAAAGCAATTTCATCCCTCTGCTGATCACCTTGAGTAGCGCCCCGTGGCATTAAATGACCTGGGATTCTAAAGGCACGGGTTGCGTTAAGATATTTTAGGAAATTTTCGCAAAGGGTTATATGAGGCTGACAAAAAACGACTATCCACAGGGGTCGACGGTATAGCCATGAAGTAAAGAGTGCTGTCGATCAATGGACGCTTATGTTATTCGCTTGACCGCCTGCGGACGCTGCTGGCATTTATAGCAATCGCAAAATAGTGGCGTCTGTGCGTTTTCGCTCACGAGTGCTTTCTCGCTTTTTCCTCTCCTCGCAGCGCTGCGTCTCTCCGTCAACCATGGTCGACCACGGTCGGTCTCACCAAAAATTTCAGGGTTTTTGATAGTATTTCTGCCCTTTTCTCCACCAACGTTCCTCTTTGGCACCTTATATATTAATTTTCGAACAGAAGAATCCACCAGTTCAATCATGACCAGTGCATCCAAAAGAAGGAGGACCCTTAGTGGTAGAGATCCGTTGGTATGAAGGGTGCGATTTGAAAACACGCGACGAATGTACGTACTCTTTTCAATTTTTCCTCCTTCAGGTTCCGATAATTGCTCTGACAGCAACAGCAACACCGGCGATTGTCGCTGACACGAAGGAACATCTAGGAATTGTGGGTTCAAAACTGTGAGTGTTAGCCAATATTTTCCTCCTTAGCCTATGCAGTAATCCATAGTTATAATTTCGAGAATTTACTGTGCCATAGATTGCGGTCGCACTTACCCCCCCCCTTTCAATATCAATTGGCTCAGTGTTTGGGACTCACTTAATTGGATCTGCGGCCACAAATATCGCACCCATTACCGTCCGTTGTGGGATGCAGTTGCAACCAGGATCAAAAGTGAGCGTGGTGATGTGTGCGTAGTACGATCCCCATACGTAAGGCCCCCACACGACCGCCTCCCCCCTCCCCCACCCCTACCCCGTTACCTCTACTGCCATGGTTTTCTATTGATTCTAGTATCATATGATCAACTCCCACTCCCCAAAATTCCTTCTAAGTTGTCGCTTGATGGTAGGGTAAGAGCAGGGCTGGGGAAAAAACTATAACTGCTGAGATGGGTAATTTTCACATTTTCTATTCCTCTCCAATTGGTGACTACTTCTTTCGTGCCTGCAACCCCTCTAGAAAGTCTAAATACAGCCCTGCTTTGCCAAGATCTCCAAATACGACCCATGGTCAATTAACAGCGAATGGTTCATGCTGAACCATTTTCCAATGAGTTTTCGGCATTTCAGGTTCATCAGTAGCTTTGTGAGATCAAATCTCATATATGAAGTTATGCCAAAATCGAAAGCAATGTTCGTGAATGTGATTAAGCGAATGAAACAGCTGTATCCTGATAAAGCTGGCATTATTTACTGTCTGTCGAGGTTCGTGAAGTTTTGTGATTGTGTTGTATTTTCGACCTTAAATGCACAGGTCGTGATCGGAAGTGGTAGTAATATTCTTCGAGAATGATACAAGTGGTGCGAAGAGGACTGCCTGTGGGGAAAAGCAAAAATTAAATTCATTCTTCTCTTGTGAAGTCGACCATGGTGCGCCAGAGCGACACAATGCGGCAGGAAGGGATGTGCGAGAGAGCACTTTGTTCGAGAGGTGCATCACATCACCTTATGCTGCGAACGAGTGATCACGGCAGCGGTTGCAGCGGTTAAGACAATGCCTTAAAGGCAGCGATTACAGTAGTTCTTGGGAGGTTTAGAGAGTCTTGGGGGTACTCAGTGGTACGCCGATGGCAACAAAAATAGGGAAATCCGTGAAGAAAACGCAAAACGTGACTCATCTTGTTGATTTCTGCTTATGGACGAGCAACGGCTCAGACAGGGACGGATGAACGAGTTAACCGTTCAGTGGCATTATGCCAACCATGCATTCGGAGCAACTGGTTGCTCCTGTTGCGTCACGCTGGCAACACAGCTCGTCCAAATCACCAAGTAAAGTAGTGGGTGGAGCGCTCAAGGGGCGGGGCGTTTTTAAAGTACTGTTTAGCAACCACCGCACCTTTCATCGTGCATCGGAAAAGTCTATGCGCCAGCGAGTGTGGAGGCGCCACACTCGCTGGCGTATACACTTTTCCGATGCGTTCCCTCTGTATTGCGATCGCTTCAACGATTTGTCGCGTAGTTTCGAGACGTTACAAAGCCGCGAATTCGGTACTTGGGGGGCGCTGCTACCTCACGCACGCAGAAAATTCCTCCAATGATCCGATCGCGAGTTGTGCCTTTAGAGCATCAAATTTTCATGTACTCTTTCCAGAGAGGAATGTGAACGTGTGCGTGGAACGTTGAACCATTTTGGAATATTGGCTGAAGCCTATCATGCTGGACTTCCTGATACAGTAAGAGTTCAGGTTGGTCAAGTAAAATGGGGTGGATTTCATGTCGGGGATGCTCCTTGCGTTGCATTCATTCTTGCCGACACGGTTCGCGGCGAGGTGAACGTTGTATTGTTTTCCACGCTTTTCCTACGTTTTTTGTGTGTGATTTTTAGATACAGCATCGTTGGTTGCGGAATGATATTAATGTTATATGTGCAACAATTGCATTCGGAATGGGTGTAGACAAACCAGACGTACGGTTTGTTATTCACCACAGGTACAAGCTTTTTGGCTTTCCTTAAAGGCAGCGATTACGATAAAGTGGGAGCGCATCGGGAAGCATATGCACCACACGAATCAGTTACTTGGCTGCCAGGGAAGCGAGGTGTAGCGCTTTCACGACGAAAGGTGCGCTGGTTGCTGAGCAGGACTTCGAAAGCACTCCGCCCCAAAAGCGATCCGCCCACTAGTTTAGTTGGTGATTTGGACGAGCTGCGTTGCCAGCAGCGGCACAACTGGAGCAACTCGATTAAAGCGTGGTTTGGCATGGTGCCACTCAACGCGTTGCGATGAACTCGTTCATACGTCCGCTTTCTGAGCTGTTACCTGTTCATAAGCGGCACAAAAGGAGCGCGGGGGGTCCCGCTTTGCGTTTCCTCGCCTTATTTCTCCGCTTCCCGCCACCGGCATACCATTGAGCATCACCACCTCTGTTCTCTGAGGCTTCTTGAACCTATCGTAGTCGCTGCTTTTAAAGGTATCGCCACGAGAATGATGGGCCTTTTTAAATCGCTACATGTGTTACTTTATTACTTGCACATCACCCGTAAAGTTTGTATGAAGGAATTTGATTTCTTCGAAGGTAAAAGCTCTAAGCAAAAGCTGCGCTGGCTTGTAGGCGGAGCTCATCGAAGAGGTCATTGGTTTAGAGACCTTGAAGATCAGCCCAACTCAGAGCCAACCGTATGCTAGGCAGCTCTCAAGGCGTCGTATTCGAGTTTTTTGAGGGGGAGAAGTCATATTTTGGGTTGGTGGCGGTCAAAATGTGGGGGATAGGGGAATTGCATTTTTCAATCTGAAGTGCCGTAACCACAATTCGCGAGAAGTTGTTAAGCAAACGAATATCGTAATCACTTTGGCCGATATGCGAATTTTAACGTGATTTAAAGTCAACCCTTGAAAGACCACATTCATTACAGCTCTCCGAATCGTTGAGGTTAATATCAGAGACTGGATTCGAGCTTGGACGAGATGGCGCCCATCGTACTGTCTACTGCTGTATGCCTACAAAGACGCTATCCGTTTACGACAGTTGGTAGAAGGTTAGTGTATTGGACGGAGCCTACATTTGAAGCCTCTACCGCTGCTGTTATGTTATTCACAGCGACCATGTGTCTGCTCCCTCTCTTGGGCGCACTCTCTCGCTGTACTCTCTCCTAGTCGCGTTCTGTCTCTCCGTCCTATTTCGTTGCCTCTCAGTGTGAAAGGTGCTTCAAATTTCAGTATTTCTAACAGTTCCTTATGTTTTTTCTCGGCAACAATCATATTCGCGCCTGTTGTTTCATTTTCGAGCGGACTCACACACATATTCAATCGCGACTCGGGAATTTAAGACTCCCACCCGCTTAAAGGACGAATTCACGATCAGAGGGAAAATCGAATTAGGAAGAATTCACCTGGTTGAGGGACCCGCGGAGCTCCTAAGTGTGCGAACTGAAGCACAATTTGCACAGGAGGAGTTGACCTCGTTGACCTATTAAGGTTTAATCCCGCCGCGGCTGGTCAGTGCACGCCCACCGATCATCTGATCACTCGCCGCAGGTCTATACGTGGTGAGTGATTAGATAGGTGAGAGAGCGTAGTGTTGAAGAGGGCACAGCGATGATAGTCGCATCAATGCTCAAATCAACGGGCAAGGAAGGGGTCCCATTTCTCGGTTCTGGGCCGTTTCTCATGGTTTTTCCTTCTTTAGTGTACCACTCACCATCGCTAACTTAATTTGAAATGGGTTGCCTTTCCAGCGTGAATTCGTCCTTTAACCGTCGTAATAACTTCGTATAGCATACATTATACGCGAAAAGGCCAATATTTCACTTTAGGTAATAAAAGATGTGCAAAATTTGTTGTATAAAAAATTACTTCCAAATTCGACCAAATATCGGTGTACCAATAAGTTTGCTCCACCCTAGGTTTTGCAATCGAATATTGATTTTCTAGGTGAGGACAATGTGACAAAGACAGCGAAATGTCCAATCTATGCATGTACGAAATATCTACCAAGTTGTGTCGTACTGTGAAAACATTTCGATCTGCAGGAAGAAAGCTTCTCGTCGAACATTTTGGAGAGGTAAGCGGTTTCACTTTTTGTTAGAAATCTACAGTATTCACCCCATCGATGACCCAGTGAAGGGTTGTTGTTCCCATCGAGGACACTCTCTGACTCCAGGAGGTGTCGCACATTCCGCAGTTATATTACTAGACTAATCCCTTCCAAAGTTGATGGATTCGCAACTGCAGAGGTAGGGTCGAATTTTGCAGCTCATAACGCGTGGAAAAGACACTAGGAACTCTAAAATTACAATCGTGAACGCGCTAAACAATCACGTACACCCACCGTTGTAATGTCTGCACTCTCGCCCCTCGCAATGCTCTCTCGTCGCCGTCTGCCGTTGTTTCGCCTCAGCGTATACTGTCATGTATCGGATTTCTGCTGAGATTGACTTTCTTAGCTTAGAAAAAGATGGGCTTTTTTTCAGTGTCATGTCGACCATTTTATTTCACATTTGAACCCCATAATCGCGCAATTTTTGCTACCGTAGCACGTGCCTTTAAGGCGTAATGCATCGCCATTTTTTTCAGGTCTACGATGCGCAAATGTGCTTAAAAAGTGCGGCACCATGCGACGTTTGTCAACGTCTGAAACACAACCCAGAAGGGGTGAAGTTGTGCGACATGTCCGAGGAGGCCCTCATGATGCTGAAAGCGATCAGCGAAATGGGCAACGTCTCATCGCAGTAAGCTAACTGTGAAATAATCTGGTTCATTTCTTTTGTTAGGGTGGGTTGAGACATAAACAGGGTTTAGGGGAGGACGAAAAGGGACTTCCTCTCTCTACATTTGAAGCTGAAGTACAGTAGTATTCATACTATGCTTAACTCAACCCGTTGTCTCAAAGTGATGTTTAAAAAGTACCTTAATATCTATCGAAGGTATGCTTTGAACAACTCGACATGTGAGACCGCTCAATAATTAAAGCAACAGTCCCAGCAGGGTTTTCACCTTCAACACTAATGGTGTGGAACGATGCGCTAGCCCTAGTCAAGAACATAAGAAGTGTGACTGAACAAAAAAACTCACCTTGGAAAGCCGCTAGAAAGAGAGCTGAACGGCTTCGAAGTGGGCGTGGTTGCTCGGTCGGCTTTCAACCTCGGCCTACTTCGAA